AGATTGAGCGCCTGGAGATGAGAGGCCGACGTAAAATTGTGCTGCTTCATGGGGTCCCCGAGGATAAGACTGAGGATACATTTAAACTGGTGTCATCTCTTCTGATGGACAAACTTAAGGTCGCTGTTTCTCAGACTTTTTTTGGCCGTTGTCATCGCCTTGGACGCGGAACAGGAAAAAAGCCAAGACCAGTTCTGGTTAAGTTTCGTGATATTCCAGTTCGTGACCAAGTTTGGTTTTCCAAAACTAAACTAAAAGGCTCTGGAGTCACAATGTCTGAGTTTTTAACTAAAGATCGTCACAAAGTATTCATGGAAGCAAGGCGCAGGTTTGGCATAAGCAACTGCTGGACCAGGGATGGTCATATACACATTCATGGTCATGACGGCTCACACCATCAGGTCGAATGCTTGTCAGACCTTGATGCTGTACCAACAACAAATACGGGCGCTTCCCAATTACAGGCTACAGCCAGTGAAGGAGCTGTATCTATGGACAAACCGGTTCAACGTTCCAAAAGAATTGTAAAAAAGTGAGACATTTGTTTTGAACTTTCCAGTTTTCTTTTTTAGTTCTTCCCTTCATTAATTCATGTAAGCATTTCATTTAATGTCTATTTTTATGCTTCACTTACAATTATCATATAAGTTTTGTTTTGTACTTTAATCTCAGAACACTTTATGCTTGTTCTATATAATCTTATAATGAAGTCAATGTTCCTTTCACCGTTAATTATACACCAGTTTAATATTTATAGATAGTTTCTCTTATTGTTTGTTTCTGTTGTTACAATATGCAGGTAAATCTCATAGTATTTTTCAACATACCGAATAATTATTATTATGTATAATGTAAACAAAACTTTTTGACGACCTATTGAAAGTTGAAGTGACACTGACGTTTCTGTAGTGTATTAGTGTTGCCAGCATTGCAGTCTTTAAACTTATGTTATTATTACATTAAATAATTTCTAGATGTAATATTATTATACTTATTATTTCTTTTAGGCTTACTGCATAGATTAAGTAATTATATTATATCTCCCTGTCAATGCTGGTAGGTAGAAATGAATTAATAAAACCTAGTTTTAAGTTTAAAATAATTAGTTATTGCGACTTAGTTTATTTTTATACATTTTATTCTTTATTACTTTATTTTTTTTTTTGTAAGAAAACATGTTTTTTGGTGAAAGTGATCACGATCAAGATTCCTGTTCCTTTACTTCTGCTAATGATATATTGAGTAGTGACGACAGTTTTGTAAGCATACCTTCCCTAAAAGAGACCCTAGACTCCACATTTTCTCACGCTTTTAAAAATTTCAATATTGTGCATATAAACGCACAGAGTATTCCAGCACATTATTCTGATATGTTAGCAAGCTTTGAAAATAATAACATTCATGCGATTTTAGTTTCTGAGTCATGGTTAAAGCCATGTCTTCCATCTGTATCCTATTCTCTTCCGGGTTTCCATTTAATACGCAACGACCGCACTGCTCGAGGCGGTGGTGGTGTTTGCAATCTATCTTCGCTCTCATATTCCTTTTTCTGTTATCCGTTTATCATCTCAATTTCATACTGAGAACCAAGCAGAATACTTGTTTATTGAAGTACTCCTATCGCATACCACAAACTACTTTTAGGCGTTTTTTTATAGTCCCTCTTCTACAGTTGACTATTTTAATACATTGGATAGCATTCTTGAAGAGCTCACTCCTCTGTATTCACATACGGTGCTAATGGGCGACTTCAACACTTGCCTTCTAAAAAATGATACGCGATCTTTGCGCCTGAAATCCCTTGTCGCAAGCGGCCAATTTAAATATCCTTCCGCTTTCTGAAACTCATTTTTTTTCAAACTGTGCCCCCTCTCTTCTTGATTTGGTTATCGTTTCTTCTTTTGACCATGTTGACAAATATGGTCAATGCGCAGCTGACGCTTTTTCCTATCACAATCTTTTATTTCTTTCTTATAAAATAAAACCCCCCAAAGCCAAATCTAGGATACTTCTGCAGCGTAATTTTGTTGAAATGGATTTAGACGGACTGCGAAACCAGACTGCAAGTACAGATTGGAGTGCTGTAATTAATGCAAGCATACAGTAGATGAAAAAGTAGCTGTATTTAATTGTCTTCTTATTCAACTGTATGATGTATATGCCCCTGTTCGTCCAGTTCGAATACGACACTCTCCGGCTCCTTGGTTGACAGATAACCTAAAAAAAATGTTGTCTAAAAAGAATGATGCAAAGTCGAAGTACAAGTCAAATCCCAATAATGATAAAATTAAGGAAAAATACAGGCTCCTTCGGAATCAATGCAACAAGATGTGTAGGGATTTACGACGCCGCCATATCCACAAATCTGTACAAAATGAAGATCCAAGTCGTGTTTGGAAATTCTTAAGGTCTATAGGAGTTGGGAAATCACGCTCAAACCTACTTCCAAATAATTTAGATTTAAATATGCTTAACCAGCACTTTTCTTCGTCTTCTTCTTGCATAGATAATGTTGCTAAATCAAATACCCTTACTCAACTTTCCCTACTTCCCACTCCTGACTATCCTCCTTTTGTCTTTAGGCAATTTGCAGATTGTGATGTTAAGAGACACATACACTCCATTCATTCCGACGCTGTTGGGAGTGATGACGTTAGTCGTAAAATGATCATTCCTTTGCTTGACATTCTTACACCTGTTATAACGCACATCCTAAATTTTTCCATATCCACATCTTCCTTTCCCTCCCTCTGGAAAAATGCACATGTGATCCCCTTACCCAAAAAAGCAAATCCTTCGAGTTTTTCCGAATATCGTCCTATTTCTATTCTCCCATTCCTTTCTAAAGTCCTTGAACGCCTTGTCCAAGAACAAATTTATTCCTTTTGCACTAAAAGCAATATCCTCGATCCGCTTCAGTCTGGCTTTAGATCTGGTCATAGTACGACTACAGCATTATTGAAAATCACTGACGACATTCGCTTCGGAATGGACAGTCGTCTAGTCACAGTATTGGTCTTGCTGGATTTCAGCAACGCCTTTAATACTGTAGATCATGACATTCTGTTAGGTGTACTGCGTTCTCGTAACATATCTCCAACTGCAATTTCCTGGTTTCATAGTTACTTGTATGGACGCCAGCAGCGTATTCGAGTTCAGGACAGTTTTTCTTCATGGCTTGATACTGTAGCTGGTGTTCCACAAGGTGGCGTGTTATCCCCACTGCTATTTGCAATTTTCATTAATACCATTACTTCCCAAATATCTTCTCTCTACCACTTGTATGCAGATGATCTCCAGATTTACACTCAAACCACTGTGGAGGATCTTCCGAAAGCTGTGGATATTATTGATAGGGATTTGGCTTGTATTCTTGACTGGAGCCGACAATATGGTTTGACTGTTAATCCTATAAAATCTCAAGCCATAATAATTGGGAGTTCAAGAAATATCACTAAATTAAATAAGAACCAAATTGACCCGGTTATTTTTAATGGCATCGTAATCCCTTATGGACTCAAGTTTTTCATGGACCCCTCAAATTAATGCAGTCGCTCGTAAATTATTTGCAGCATGTGGTTCGCTTAGAAGGTTGAACTACTTTTTACCTATTTCAACCAAAATTACCCTTGCCCATTCTTTACTGCTCCCTATTCTTGATTATGCTGACATATGCTATCTCGACATCACTGAGGAGCAGCTTAATAAACTTGAGCGACTCCAAAATCTATGTATACGGTTCATATTTGGACTTCGTAAATATGACCATGTATCAGAATATCGCATTAAGCTCAAGTGGCTCCCGATTCGTTTTCGCCGGAATACTCATATTCTTTCTGCTCTTTACTGCGTCCTATTTAATGTATCAAGTCCGGATTATTTGAAGGAACGTTTTAACACACAAGAGGTATGTTTTTCTTATTACTTTAATTTTTGTTGCAACTTACTTTTTACTTACTTTCACGATTGTGATATTTCTTGTACATCCTACCCAATAAGAATTTCTTTTGATTCATTTCTGAGGTTGCCTGGAAGAAATTGCTGTGTAGCAATAAGGTCGCCTTTTGATGACCAATATTTGATAAATATTTTGTTTAGTTCTGTACTTTTTTCTTTTTTGGTGTACAATAAAGCATATTATTATTATTATTATTATTATTATTATTACTCCAAATAAGTAACAACTGTTGATCTATTTTGAACTTAACAGGTTCACAAAGTATTTAATAAAATTTTAACAGTATTTAATGTAAAAATAATTCAATTACAATTAAAATGCCATAATTTTTTTAGTGCCATTAAAAAGTGGAAATTGCCGTACTAACGGATATTTTGTTACCAACTAACGTTATAGGGTATAATGGTGGTACGGTAATAGCGCTGGAGAGCGCTAAACGGTTTAGAAACTTCTCGTAAGTTGGAAACTTGCGAGCTTCCACGACAACGAAGTGTCGATTTTCAAACTAACATAACTGACTAAGAGACTTTGTCGGGCGTGAAGGAAATAAAACGACAAAAGTACTGGCAAACGGACCGTCGCTAAGAATATAGCAATTTTCCGGAAACACCCGAATTTACATAGCATTGCCATACGTATGTAAATTATATATGAAATTTTCTCATTCCTCTTTGACGTCGTTATGTTCTCTTCTATATATGTAATTCGACACATCTGCATAAGCTTCAACGAAAACAAAGCGTATTTTTGCCACGCATTTTGTGTTTTGTTTAGTAATATTTTCTAACAGATTTAATAAATCAGGAGAAAAAAAAGACGCTATTTTTTGTCCTGGCGAGTCTGTCTTAAAAGTTAACTCAGCTGGAGTTTGTGAAAATTGTCATAAGATGTTCAACTCAATGTTTTAATTATTAATTAATATTGACATCTAATGGATTTAAAGTTTACCCTCCTTTGGTTCTTCTTTCTCATTTAATTAACTAAGTAGTTACTTATGAGCTATTGAATTATCCTACTTTATTAAACGTTCCTTCGATGTCAGGTTTCGAGCACCTTCTTTCGAGGGAGATGTCAATTCTGAAGACACAATTATTGAAGCGGACACAGGGGCGACAGTTCTCTTTGACTGTCAAGTGTATTCTCTGAGAGATAAAACGGTGAGTAGTTCGTAATAATAACCTATAATCATTACAAATTAATATTTTTTTTGTACTTGCGTACTATGATCATTACACATTAATATTTTTTGCGTTTTTAAACGTTGCCCTTACCTTAGGATAACATTATCCTGTGTTGTAAGAACGTTTGACAAACATAAATTACACGTGGACAGATGCGAAAAAACTATCACACAAACACTTGTTCCGGGTGGGTATCGAACCCCCGCCCCTGACGCTGAAGCCAATGCCTTGGCAACTATTACTATATAAATAATACAACATCACTACTTAGAAAATATATAGGAATAAGTTTATTAGTTTCGTCTATATTTTAAAGTCTAATTATTATCTCTTTATGACTTATTTCGTAATTCCGTAATTTCCCAGGCATTAAGTCAATTTATACACAATATTTGATGCTTAAATGCAAGCGTAAATAAGTTAATAAATGATATAATAATATTCTCTCATATTCGATGACCCGATTGGCGTGTGGAGTAGTGATCCTGCCTCCTGCGCCAAAGGGTGTGGGTTCGATCCCCACTACTAGAAAAATATTTTGTGATGAACATCGTGTTTTTCCAGTTTCTGGGTGTTTATATATGTATAATATGTATTTATTTACAAAAAAAGTATGTTTAAGTATGTCTATCAGTTTTCTAGTAACCATAGTACAGGCGTTGCTTAGTTTGGGACTAGAGAACGTTGTGTAAATGTGTCCGAATATATTTATATTTTTATTTTTTTAATAATAATACTTTATTTGCCATAATACACTGTTATAATAATACACTGTTATAGACTTTAACGCGACCCTTTAATGCTGATTGACGTGCAACTATAACAAATTATAACGCTTACGCCCGGTTTCTGAAACACTGATCATCGTAGATGTCAACTAATCTGCTGTCAAATTTCATTTTAGTTGCCAAAAGGTTAAACGGTTATGGTTAAACACCCTGAATTAACCAGAATGATCTTCTTAATGATCAGAATGATCAATTCAATGAGTTTAACTATCCTTTTGGCAACTCAAATGACATTTGAAAAACCATTTGACAGCTGATTAGTTGACATCTACGATGATCTGCCTTTCAGAAACCGGGCGTAAGTGTACGAAATTGCACACAGGAAAAGGATGACAAAAATTAAGTTATAATGGAAATATTTCCCCATGCCATTTCAATTGTGTTACCGAACTGTGGTAGAGCCAGCAACTTTTTCTGTTGCATAATTGGGCAGGCCGGGAAGTAGTACCACGGCCTCAATACCGGTGTAAATTGGAACTATAATACTTTTACACTGTTTTAAAAGTTAGCAACGTATCTGCAGCCTCTTTGTTGTTATATTATGGTTCCATTGGCGACGGTAAGCACTTAAAATCAGGTGAACTGTCTGCTCGCTTGCCAACTTTCCTCATAAAAAAGAAACTTGTAAAAAGAAATTCCTTTTCACCACCCGATATCTGAGAAACTTATGCAATGGTTTTTTTTTTTATATGTTTACATAAAGTTTTCTTTTTCCTAATAAATTGACATAACAGAATAAATGTAGGTAACATCAAACAAAGTTGTTATAGAAAACATTAAGATCCTCTTGTAGCGTGGTTTCATTTTGTTGCAGCTTACGCTTGACATACACACATTAATAGAATGGGTAATTAATTTATATAAAATATTTTGTTATTTTCACTAAAAATTTAATTACTTATTTTTATTATCTTTTTTTACAATACCTCTAATGTGAGTATTTAGGAAAATCTAACTACAGAATAATATAAATATAGAATACCCTATACGGGTATAACTTGACTTGAAGAGGTGCTTAAAGGCCCGGCCGTAACATTTACCCACGCCCTAATCACGCTGAATGGTGAGAAAAAGACAATACTGGTATGTCATTAGGAAATATTAATATATTGTACACAAGCATGTACTACTCGTATACAATAATTCAAGCGACAGTAAAGGCCCATTTACACGATACCATTTTCTTGTACATACAAGAGCAATAATTGAATGCAATAAATTGCGCGCAATAATTGTTAAGACCATTTGTTGTTTAGACCATGCAACTCATTTATTGCTTCAATTTAATTGTATACAACAGGCAAGAAACTGGCACCGTGTAAATGGGCCTTTAGGTTCGATTAACTTGTTCCATGCAAATTACTGGAGATCGTCTAACAGTGCGGTAATTAGTGGGATCGGATAACACGCTTATTACATGTGAATGCTGGGAGCGGACAGTTTTAGTAAATTATATAATACGGCTAAATTTCCTTTATGGTTTTTGTACTCATGATTAAAGTACTTTGTTTTCAGTTTTCCGTGATAGCATAAAATACCAAATTAACGCCCTGTTTCTGAAACACTGATCACCGTAGAAGTCAACTAATCAGCTGTCAAATGGATTTTCAAATGTTATTTGAGTTGCCAAAAAGATTGTAAACTGTATTGTGTGTTGTTGTCTGAATATATCAGCCACAGTATATGCGAATGAAACTATACAGACTTCTATTGTTTGCATTTTTTATATTAAGGAACGGGCAAACGACGAAATGGCACGTCTGATCGTATGTGATCACCACCATAATATGTAAAGATGTGTGGTAATTTTTTTATATCAATAGGTAAAAATAAAAAGTATTTCGAAGACATCTGTGAAGCCTCTCAATCCGCAGTGGGGTCGCATGGTCGATGATCTAAAATACTCTATAGTGGAGGTCTTCCAACGGCTATCCAACAGTGAGACATACAACAGACGATAACTTTATTTTTACTTGAATGCACCGTAATGTAACTTCATTTGTAAAATACATTAAAAAGTAAACGTATCAGCATATACATGTCCCAGTGCTGGGCAAAGGCGTCCTCTGTACAGAGGGTATCAGGGCATAGTCCACCACGCGGCCCCACAGCGGATTGGCGGACTTCACATATCTTTGAAATATATTTTTTTGATTATTATTTCGAAAATATGCAGGTTTTCTCACGATGTTTTCCTTGACCGCTGAGCACGTGATAATTCAGCACTCAAAATGGACAATTTCATTGGTTCTGGCACCGGGGATCGACTCAGATTGCTTGAGTATATTAAATTAAAGGCAACCGCCCGGACACTGAACTATAACGGCTCTTATATACATTAATATATTAAATTTCGATTTACAGGTATCATGGATTAAAGTTGCGGACAATGAGAACTTAGAATTACTCACACTTAACCTCGATACGTACACGGCGGACAGCAGGTGAACCTAATTCATCTTTAATACCCGAACAAAGGCCAAAATTTCATTTGTATTTTATACGACAAATATGATATTGTAGGTATTATATCTTATTGTCGGTTGATATTGGAATTCCTCGTATCCTCACCTTAGGGACGGCGAGCGAAGAGAGTGTAAATTAATATTACGGTATTGTTTCTGCATCGCTATGCGGTTATAGCGGTACTACCGTGAGAACAAAAGGCTCGTTCGTGACTCCCTATAAAATATGTCAATATATTAAATGAAATGTGATTGAATTATGAAATTAAAAAAAATCTTATTTATATTTGGTTTATAATAATGCACATAACTTCACGATCAAATAAATAAAAACAATTCATCGTCAGTTCGGAATTCAGAATATAAATCAAATTAAGTTTAATTAATATAATAGTCAAACGCTGTTTCCAATATTTTCTTGTTTTAATTATTAACAAACTTTCTACTTGCCGGATGTAGCGAAAAACGTTCTTCTAGCTTCATTAGTTATACTTTACCTTTTTAATTGAGCTAACGAACCAGCCTTGTAAAAAAAAAATTCTTGAAAAAACCCTCTTATGGAATCCCACGAATCTAAAATTTCTTGAGTTTATATAACACATTATAATTACTAGTTATTTTTTATCGTTTTTCTTCAAAGAGACAAGGAATAATGTAACATATTTTTAAACAAGATACCGAGTGGACGTCGCTGGAGAAACATGGAGGCTGTTCCTGTCGAATGTCAAAGAACATGATTCTGGAATATACTGTTGCCACGTGTCAACACACCCACCGATGCTGAAAAGATTTAAGCTAATTGTGCACAGTGAGTAGAAGAGCGCTCGATTTGAATTAGAATGAAGTTATAAACTTAAAACATGTAACAAAATTATATGTCTCAAATATGTTTCGAATCCTCTTTAGACTCTTAAAATTGTAAGAATTACAGGTTAGATTGTGATAGTTAATAATAAACATTAAAATAAAAACTTAAAGAACTTACTTAGCTAGACATTCTTGTTCAGTCCAATGAGCAATATCAATGGTAACGATAATGTCTAATGAACATGGTTTAGTCTAATGAGAAATATATATTTTCAAAGAGACAACGGATCTAATTCGATTATAATTTAATTTAAGGGTACGCTTATGAAATCTCGTTCCGACTAAAACCTTTAACAAAATCGTTACATCCATTAAAAACTCTAGCTCTCATCAAACAGTTATTAATTATAGAATACTACCAGTAAAACATTTCACGATTGTTTACACATTCAGTCGCGTGGTCGTGGCGGGAGTTTGCTTTTAAATATTTGCTTAAAAAGTCTCATCTCAACTGAATTCCGTTCGTGATTATGCTTGACAGAACCCGAAATAAACATGAACAAGGAGGCTTTTCTGGAGACGGGAGAGACCTTGTCCCTCAAGTGTGTGGTGATACACCTAAATCCTGGGGAGATTTCGCCAGAGATGCACTGGTATAGAGGAAATGCAACGGTGTCACTGGATGAGATGAGAGGCGGCGTATTCGTCGAAACTGATCATCTGACCATGACTTCACATCTCCAGGTATGTTGTTTTTTTTTAAATTATTCATAATACTTTTGCTATGTGAAAAGTTGCTATTGCCGTATAAAATTACTACTAACACTCAAACAAATACCGGTATTGTTGATCCTCACAACAACACTATTTTAACGGTGGTAGGGGCAGGCTCGTCCGGGTCAGTACCACGACCTCACAGAGGACCGGCGTAAAATGGGAGTGTGATACTTTCGCGTTTCGTCTGGTGAGTGAGGTAACCGGAGCCCAATTTTCAAAAGGTTGTCAACGCATCTACAACCCTCGGGTGTAGCGGATGTCCATGGGCGACGGTATTCACTTAACATCAGGTGAACCGTCCGCTTGGCAACTTTTGACATTTAAACAAAAACACTATTGCCAACTTTTTGAGAATGTAACAAGTGTCTGGTTTAAGGCGAATAGCGGATTATAGCTGATGATAACGCCGTGAATGTTGGTTGAATCTGGTAGATAAAGCAGTTTATAAATGATGACTGATGAATTCATAAACGAGAAGGGAATGTCATGAAGTTCATTAACTCGCACTCTGACAATATTCATCAATCATCATATATTAGAGAATGTGGCATTTTGCATATTTAAACAGTCTCTGGATTACACAAGGAAAATTTACGTCGCTCAGTGATTTTGAAATATAATTATTGGTTTTTAACTACAACATTTTTTTTTTCTTACGAATGTTCCTAAAACCAAACAAGGTTAATAACAATGTTAAATAGAGGTATGCAAATAATACCTATTCAAACAATACCTGACAAAAGAAAACACGTGTGAAAGGTTTAGTGTAATTATTAATATCTAAACAAGTTTAGAATCAAAATAAATTTGGTGAGTTCTTAATGTTTGAAAAAAAAGCTGTGTTAATGTTGAAGAATACTAACATGTAGAAGACTTGAAATAAAATGGAACAATGTCTTTTTCAAAGTAATTTGAATGGGCATGTATTACTTAATGATTAAATCGTCATCCTGATTTTTTTAACTAATAAAAAACAGGAGACAAACTTGTAGAGTGCTAAAGGAACTTTTTCATGTAGTCATTATGTTACTTATAATATTCAGTGGATTTGTATTGATCGGCTAATCTCGAAGCTAATTCATTCTATAATATATCCATCGTTCACTTTGTATTTATTTAAAAATTTACGTTCTACGTTTTCATTTTTTGTAATACTTAACTAATGATTAACTAATGATGCGGTTATTTTGTCAATTAATACAGAAATAATTTCCATACATACATCTTAAGAGCATTATGATGTGTAGGCCCACTAATCTCCAAAGGTAGTACATTCCTAAGATAAAAAAATAGATAGGATGGAGAAAGAATGGAAGAAGACAAAGTTGTAAAGAGTACACTATTATAAGTGGCTGCTTGAAGAGCAACGGGTTGTGTCATGGGCATAATTGTAAGTAAGGAGTTAAGGAGAGAAGAGGATAGGGATTCATGAGGGATGGAATGATTGGTGTTGAGGGTACGTGGACTGTCGCTAAAGAATGGGTAACCAGTTTAGCAGAGAGCGGTATGAGGTTTCCTCATGTAATCATACTTTCCAAGATTGAAATTGAATTTAAAGCAGTACTTAGCACGGCTGATCAAATTTAAAGTCCGAATTCATATCAGAACAGCACACATTACCCAAATCGATTAAGGGAAAAATAAGGGCCTGCAAAAGCATTATGTTCAAAACACCTTGATGTTTGAAATTTTTCAACATAAACGGTAGGAACTCCGTAAAGTACCTTAAAGTATACATATTTTGCGCGTACTAGTTAATGTTAATGTCTTTCTCATGTATGTCACAATATATTTAAGAGTGTTGTTCATGGACAATCCCATCACATTTAATCAGAGGAACGGCAGATAATTTCATAGTTAGCATTCGATTACTTCCGATTACAACGGCTTATTGCTTTACCGGGTTGTAAGAGAAAAACAATCTATTACACCATCAAGTAATATGTTTAATAATGATCTCTACTGCATACACACAATAAACACTGGTCTTTCAGCAGAGCTGCAAAATATTTGCGTGCGTCACGTCAAAGGTTTTTGTAAAAATATTTTTGCACAAAACAGAAGCCTCACCACACGTATACTGGTTACTACGTTTCAATGCCTACGATTTAACCAGGAAACATTAGAATTTTAAATATCTATAGTTGTTATTCGCTTAAGATGAACCATTTCAGGAAATATTACTTAAATAAACAAATATGTCTTAAAAATTAGTTTAATACATAAAAGTTGAACAGTGGTAGGTCCAAATTTTTTTATTAAGGTGTGTTACACAGGAAAAAGCGAAAACGAATGGGAACACGATACTCTTTTTGACTACAGCAAAAGCGCCATATACAAAACAACGGTATTAAAATTACATGTGAAATAATTGCGTCATTTCAGCCGTCGCCGTAACTGTTTCACTTTATACTCGTGCCACACCCATACGTCTAAATTATTAACGTCGTCTGTTAAGTTATAGCCTAGTTTCATAGTTTTTTTTACAAACGAAGAAAAGCGATGGAAAGTAAGAAGCCATAAAAGTAAAATTCTAAAGTTATTTACATTTTACAAGCTATGAAAATAATACAATGTATTAGAATAATAGGAATGAATAAGCTGTAGTAGGGTAGTTGCACGAATGGGCAGGTCCGTCTACCACGTCCTCCCAGAAGACCGGCGCCAAGTGTAAGTTTTATACTCCTGCGTTTCGTCTGGTGAGTGAAATAGCCGTCCCACTTTGTTTTTAACGCATCTACAACACTACGGGTGTTGCCAGGTCACTTGCCACTTTTTCACATAAAAAAATAAGCATTTACTGAGCGAGAAGTGTGTTGAGCAATTGCGGCTGCATCGCCATTTACCATCAAATAGGATAGTAGTCAAGCTCTGACCAGTAACTCATATAGATATCAATGTAAATTGTGTTTTTCGTTTCATTTAAAATAAAATTACAACATAATATATAATTAAGCATGTATTAATGCTGTCTATATCTATATCTAAATCAATCTAAATCATACTATATCAAATGTTAATTGCAGACACGTTAATCGGAATACGGATAACTGCCCTCCGACTTCACTTTGTACACATTTTTTTTGAAAACAATCGTTTCTTTAATGTAGAAAGTATATAATTTCCAATCCGAACAACAAATACAATCCCAGATTTATATTAAATTCATAATTTGTGATGATATAGCATGATATAATGGAAAGCTTCCGAAGCGAATCAGAGAGAAAATATATTTTTTATTTACGGTACAATTTTTACGCTTATATGCAATAGTATCCTTGCCGGTCCTACGTTGGATTCTCTCAGGATGCTATAATATATGATTGTTGAACTAAGGAATAGAACACAGAGGTGATTAAAGTTGATTTTAGTTTTTATCTTTATACTATTTCTTGTTGTATATTAATCATATATTTGATCTTAATCTTACTCATAATTTTTTGTAAATATTTTTCATAAACTGTTAAGATTCAAACCTTTTCCTAAATAAAGGAAAGAAATAACTACACAGTGTTGTTAGTAGCGAAAATAATTGGGGCACATTACTACGTACTGATATACTGGAAAAGTGAAAGGAAGTTGATATAGTAAATTGTTTTGGATAACTTTGCCTATTGCCGAAGTTTATTCAAGGTTAGATTCTTTCAGAGTTAGAGCTGAAGTAGCAGTACTTTCGGAGTATCATAAAAATCGCTACAGAAAGTTTCAACATACAATTCAACATACGTCACGATAAGAGGAGTCTCGTTGGAAAAATTACAAATATAAATCATGGTTATATTCAAATACATTGCAGACAACTCATTTTTATTTTGTTAATTATACACGAAGTATGTTGGAAAGTATTCTAAATGGGTGTTACAACTAAAACGTAGTAAAAAGTTTTAGTAAATTCTTTGTATTATTTACATAAGTGCACTTATTATTATTTAAGATAAAGAAAAATCGTGGATAATTTTTTGCTAAAATGTTCTTACATTTTAGCAAAAAATTATCCGCTATCAGTCGCACCGCACGTCGTCCTCTACCGTCAAGGCACTATAATGTTACCTTCCTTCTCTCTAAATTACCGCAATATATTTGCGGAGTAAAGTGTAAGTGGGGACTTAAATATTTTCTCCGACTGTTAAGGTAGTATTACATAGGAGATAGGACTACAGTAATTTATGTGGACAACGATAGCGGTTTAATGGGGCGAACTACTTCTTGTGGCATTCATTTTCTCTATTTTATAACGAATGAGGGCACGCATGGCGGTAAACTATAGTATCCTTCCTTATACTTAAGGCGATGCGAATTATTTTCAGAAAAAAAAAACATTAGCATCTTCATTAATAATACAGGAAAGATAAGTAGTTATGCAAAAATACAGAATTTTCACTTCTAATCTTCAAAAATTAGGTCTTCTTGGGACTAAAATTTAACCTTTCTTACATCGGTAATTTTACTGAATTTTTAACGTGTCCAAATTTCACAGGTCGCGCGTTTAAAAGTCGAAGATGCCGGTAATTACACCTGCGCTCTAGAAGTACCCTTCGTCATGAAAACCATGGCAAGAGTCCACGTGTTACAAGGTCAGTATACTGCATCGATAAATAATGTAACGAAGCCATCACGACACTTAGCAGAACAACGCAAACAATTGTTTAATTTTCACAATAAGAAATATTTTTGGACACATTTTTACACAACGTTCTCCAGTCCCAAACTAAGCAATGCCTGTACTATGGGACTAGAAAACTATAAACTTACATAAACATATTTTTATTTTGTAAATAAATACATATTATACATATAGAAACACCCAGACACTGAAAAAGCACTATGTTCATCACACAATATTTTTCCAATAGTGGGGATCGAACCCTCTGGCGAAAAAGGTAGGTTCACTACTCCCAACGCTTTTCGGGTCGTCAATGATGACTAATACCTAATTTTAAATAATTTTAATTCACTTAAAACTCATATTACTCCACATCGCTTAAATTAATATTTACACACAAACAAAAAGATGCATTTCGATAAAAACCTATTGTTTTAGAGAAGTACAACACACAGTTAATGACGAAGGAGCTTACCATAACGTTATTCGGTGGGATTCAAGTGCTTTTGCTCAAAATTGGCTCACTTAATACCTTGTCTACAGCGGAAGGTATTTTGATAAAATTAAGCGAGCAAATATTCGTCGTCGATATCGTATTAGCGTTAAATAATGGTGAACTTAGCTTTAAATTTCCTTTACGCAAATAACATCAATACACTTGTGTATTATCTCATCAGTTTACACTGATGGCATTAGCTCTACAAACTGTGAAATGGTAATTTATGTTCTTTATAAGTTTAAGTTTCAAATTTACATTTAAATACCAAAATAACTAGTTTCACAGTTTTTGTTTTAAAGAAGGAGTTAAGAGGAGAACCCTAGTTTTTTATTATAAATGTGTATCAATTTGTACTTCAAACTGAGTGAGGGATATGGATAATACGAAAAAGCCATGAATACACCTCTCAACATTACTTTTTTCCACTTTTCGTGGACTATCGTTACGATGTGAACTGCACGTCCTCTAGTCACTTCATTTAGAAAAATATTAACAATACGACAATGCTTCAGGGTCGAGCTTAGCGGAACTACAAAGCGGCGTTAAGTCAACATGCAGCTACATTAGCCTGCTCGTCACGTCCATTGTCGTTAATTTGGTTATGTACGCTGACGTAAGGTGACCTATTCGGTTATGGCACTGTAACGTCGAACGAAAGGCTGGCCAACGCAAGAATTTCGAACATGGGGAACAAGTTATTCGTAAAAGTAATTAAAATTGAATATCAAAAATCAGTCGGTCTCAATGGAACATTTCATTTCACCGCGTTTCTACCGCCGTCAGCGCAAGTGTCGAGAATACTTCACTCGTAATGGAAACTGATCGATGTAGCAATTATTATTTGTAAGGTTACGCTGGTCACCAGTTTCTCAATCGAATAATCGGCATTGTTTAATAGGTGTATTCCGGAAGGAAGCTATGCTTGATTATTGAAAATTAAATTTTATGCGCTGTATTTTAAATACAACAACTACGGTGCATGCTGTAGGTGTTTCCGTAAATGTAAAAGGCATCACAGCTGAAATTGCACCATATATTATGTGAAAAAAAAAAATTTTTTGTACAATTACGCAAATAAATGTGTTTCCCAATCGAGTTATATTATGTTTGAAGACAGAATAAAAATACATATCCAAGTTTATTATTAAAAGTAATTTATCTTACTTGCCTCGTTCGTTAGCCTTGAATGTTGCGAAGATTTCTTTCCCTTGCCAATGATTTCACTTATTGGCTTATTGATGATTCTGTTTATTGATATTTCTTCCCCCTGTGTACCGTCCAACGACCCCTGATTTACGAGCACTGACAGTGATGTTGGAATTGTAAATAATACTCATTAGGTAAAAAAGATACATATGAACGAACGGTGATCGCTCAGTGCCGTACAGATATTACGGTTTTATAAGTAACCCTTAAATATAATATGTACATACAAGATGATTATGCACCATTTTTATATAATTATGTTTTCGGATAAACCCCATTTGAAACCTTTAATACCGCCAGTTTAACATCAATATACAGCGTGTCGTTACAACCGCGACAATAAATGACACGACTAACACTACTTGCCAGTAATCATAAAAAAATATAAAACGTTAAAAAAATCCATAAATAAAAAAATATATTTTTCAAACAAACTAATTAAATAAAAAAGAAACAAAATTGTTTTTTTGGATGTTACACATCCTATATACAAGTACAACTGACTGATTCATACATACAGAGACTTTTTCATTCGTTGCCACAACGTCGCATCCTTCTAACAGTATGTTTTATCTCTTTTAAATTCATTCAACCAATTCATATGCTTTGTGACCTATACAAATGAACTTTACGTTACAGTTTTATACGTAAGGTTGTTCTAAAAATGTTTGTTTTGTAAAATTTAATAACTCGGTCAATATTGATGTTTAAAGAATGTAAATACTTAAAACAATTTTAAAAAGTTATCCTCTATATGTGTTTTCATTTATTGTCGCTGTATATCATGGGTGGTAGAGCCACGCAGCAGCCTCGGCTGTTGCACGAATGGGCAGGGTCGTCCGGGTAAGTATCACGATATCACAAAAGACCGGCGTAATCTGGAAGTATAATACTTTCGCGTTTCGTGTGGTGAGTGAGGTAGCCGGGTGTAGCAGATGTCCATACAACATCAGGTTAACCGTCTGCTCGTTTGGCAACTTTTCATATAAAAAATATATATATATATTAATATTAAACTTAATATTCCTTCAGTCAAAACTTTACAGGCGTATTCCCCGGTATTTTAACGTAATACTTTCTTCGTATTTTTTTTACGTTGAGCACTAATATTTTAGGAAAACTAAATTATGTAATTGTATATATTTAATTACTTCGGTGTAGTTTATGTGTTTCTCTTCTAAATGGTGTTTTCTTAATTAAAAAAATGAATTGTACATATCACAAAGCAATTATAAATATCTTGACATCATATCTCTTGAAGTACTTGCACGTCGTAGAATTGCATACTAGTTTAAGACTATATTAGGACAAAATTAAACATTTTTGAGACCATTTTATGTTTTTCTAATAACATAGAAGCAACAGGTTTATTCTAATGAGATTTTTGTTAAATGTTATTTTTGCCTGAATACTCTTATGTAACATTAAATTTCCTACGATGAGAAAAAGTTATAAAATAAAACCTGCTAACATTTAAGGCGTACATTTGAAATGTAAATGTAAATAATGTAAGAAATTGAAAAGGTTTTTACACATTTAGGGTACGTTTTAAATGTTTTCGTTAATAACCATATCACTAGAACTATACTCGTGTCAAACATTTTATTGTAGCTGCCGTCAAAAGAACGTTGGATACATACATTTTTCGCTATCATAATATTGATCGCCCGAAAAAATAGTCTGTTTTGCACAATTTAGGAACTTTGAACGCTAAAACGTAATGGGCTTCCCATGAGGAAAATACAACTTCTGCTCATTCTTCCGCTATTATACTTTATTTATCCTGTTTTGTTGCATAACATCGATGTATATAAGAATGGTAACTATAGTTGCATAAATCGGTTATTGTTACTTAGTAGTTACAGTTGTGATACCGACAAAGTCGTCTGCGAATTGTTTTTGCAGCAACCACTACGAGCGAGGATACAATTAATGTTAGTTAATTTATCTTTGACGATTGCACGGTGTAGTCACGATTCTCGGTTTCGTTGTAACAGTCGCCAACAATAAATATAAACTGAAGTATACTTTTACATGGCGTTTTACTTATCTTTTGTTCCTTTTGTTTTCTGTCGATTTTCTTATACGAATTTATATATCAATACGATCAATTTGAAATTCATTTGTGATAGCAACGATAATCGATAATCGGAAATGACATAAATAAATATGAGTTACATTTAACGTGTATATGTTTTACATATTATTTCGTCATTCTTACAATGTACATACATAGATGTTGTTCTTATACAAGTAAATTTAGATAATAATTATGTAATGTGCATATCAGAGACACATTTATTATACCATATAAATATAATAAATACGGTTTAAATATGTGTGATATAGTACGACATATAAATGCTTTTGGATGTACGATTATAAAGGAAATAATTAACAAATCAAAATTATGTTCATCGACATATCTTTATAAGTATAATTGTTTTTATAGGTGCCTTAATGTTCAGTGCATATATAAATCTCAATAAATTATAAACGTTTATTTAAGTATTTTTAACTTTTTTAGTCTTTTCTTTTCATTATTATGTATAATTAAAAGAAATGATTTTAGAAAAAGTTATTATAATTAGTATAAAAAGGTGCTTATGTTGACTGTGGTTTGAGTGATGTAAAATGTTATATGTATTATGTAACTTAAATGGTATATAAACAAAATTTTATAATAAAGAGAATATTTGAAACTTACAAGTGTTTTTTTTTTTACAAATATCTAATAAAGAATAACACTCGTTGTTTTCTTGGCAACATGTGAGTAACACTATCACCGAATGATATTTGTTTTTTAACCGTCTTCAAAAAAGAAGGTTCTCAATTGGACTGTTTTTTTTTTATCAATCGACTACAAAAACGGTGGAGGTTCGCAGATCAACTGTACTTTTTTATGTTTCTTACTTAGGAACAACAAAGCCAGAATCGGCTTTGTCTCGGTTTTGTTTTTCGTTAATAAAAAATTGTACTTGTGTTTGTTATCTCAGAACTTTCGATTATGTGAACCGATTTTGATGATTCATTTCTTTTCTTTTTTTTTTTTTTTTTTTTTTTTTTAGAAAAAATACTGCCCTTACTTTAGGATAATATTATCCTGTGTTGTAAAGGAACGTTTTACAAACAAATTTCACGCGGACAAACACCCAGATGCGAAACAACTATCTGTGGGTCACACAAATAGTTGTCCCGTGTGGGAATCGAACCCACGACCCCCGACGCCGTAGCCAATAACTTGGCAACTGCGCCACGGAGTCATCAAATTATCATTATTTGAAACCTGGTACTTCCCGTGTCGTCCCATTTTGGTTCCATTCCGACAATGGCATACATGAGAGAACCATTAAGGCATTCAGTATGTGCTCGACACATGGATGAATAACTCAGTATCACGCCAACCGATTTCGATGATTCTTTTTTATTGGAGAGGATGTACTTCAAGGGTATTCAGGGAATCCATGCGAATTAACGGAAGTCTTCAATTCTTAGAAGCAAATACAATACTCAGCCAAAGCTTTTATAGGCTACCCCGATATTTAAGGTGTCCAATTTCTCACTGACCTGTATAATATTTCGTCATTCTTATAAGGGGAGATGCGTCCGGGTAAGTATTATCACCACATAGAAGACCGGCGTGTAGAGGAATTGTTATACTTCTGTGTTTTGTCTGGTGAGTGAGGTAGCCGGGGCACACTATATTAAAAAGAATCTGCAAATGTCCATGTGCAGCGGTTATCGGTTGATCTGTACAGAGAAGGTCTTGGCCCAGCAGTGGGACATATATAGTCTGTTACTTTACTTTACGCATATAACACTCGGGATAACACGTTTAGGGATAACTTGAGAAAACTATTTTGTATTCAGTAGAACATGAAATTTATACAGGAGATGCTTCGATACTTGTCAAAGCAACTCGATAAGTTTCTTACTTCTTAGCAGAATGCACGCTTTCGGAGAACTTTCCCAGATTCAGCAACAATGTTCAATTTGAATTGAAAAAAATGTTACGTCGCAATTTCACCCATAGTTATTTCAAATAAATAACCACTCCCTTAGAATCAACAGTTACGTTGTGCTGGCATCAGGATTAGAAGTCAGGTTGCTCGGGTGTATCGAATGAAAAGAGAGCGCCCGGACACTGAGCTTCCGTGTTCAATTTATAAGAACCAATATTCAATTACCAATAAAATGAAAGTCAAAGTCAAAGTTTGACGACCCGAATGGTGTTGTGGGTAGTGTACCTGCCTCCTGCGCCAGAGGGTGTGGGTTCGATCCCCACTACTGGAAAAATATTGTGTGATGAACATGGAGTTTTTCTAGTGTCTGGGTGGTTATATATGTATAATATGTATTTATTTACAAAAGAAATGTAAGTTTAAGTATGTTTATCAGTTTTCTAGTACCCAT